ACACCTTAGTCCTGAAAAAAAGGACCTTCTTGTTGCTGGCTTAGACGCTCTTGCACTAGCTTGTCCCTGCTCACAGCTTAATGTTAGTGTTCTTTGAAGCACTTCCAAAGTTAATAATGTGGTAATCTACACTTCTCAGAAATTAGTAGGAATAGCCAAGAGAATTTCCATTCTGAAATATTGTATGTACAGAACTGGGTATCGATCCTGCCGCCTTCGGTTTGGTAATACCTTGCCTTAACCCTTCTTGCCCAGAAGGGTTTTCAATGTTTTTACTTGCAAAAATCAGCATGTTTGAAGAAACAGTTGTAGAACATCCAGCCTACAGTTATCGAATTGATTTACAATTGTTTTTATTTAAATCAATTGTTTTGTTTTTTCAATAGAGACTAGGCTATCTAAGGGCCCTAATGTGATCAAATCAAAAAGTACATCCTTACTTCAAGTACCGTAAAACGGGATAACATTGATAGTTTTTTAAAGTATATTCTAAATAATTTTTACGGCAATGAATGTTTTTCAAATTTTATATTTTTAAAACAAGTACTGAGGATCCAAGAGTCGATTCGTTAGTAATATGTTTAACGAAAATTAAAGCATTTGCACTATTTTTTTTTTAGTTTTGTGACCGAACTTCAGTTTTACCCTTCTTACAAAGAAGGGTATAGATATCACTCGAAAAACCGACTATCGATCCGAGGCCCGGAGGGCCGAGTGTCATATACCATTCGACTCAGCTCGACGAGATCGGAACATGTCTGTTTGTGTGTGTGTACGTGTGTATGTGTGTATGTGTGTGTGTATGTAACGAAATGAATGCGCTCACGTTTCTCAGCAACCGCTCAACCGATTTGGACAAACTCGGCGCCAAATGATAGGTCTTGGGGTCCCATTGAACGCTATTGAACGGTTTTGGAATCGGTGAACTGGTTCCGGAGATATGACCGGAATAAGATCCGGTGAATATGGGCCTTCACGCTGGATTTAACGGAAAACGTATCAAAACCATCATGCGACACATCGAATTACTACAGAATTCAAAAATAAGATCAATGCAAGTCGTGTTAAGTGTTCCAGACCACATTGGACACACTTGGACATGTTCCGGGTACCCCGGGGAAGTTGCTTGAATATGAATTGAATTAAAACCCATTAAATCACATTAAAATACGATGATAAGGTGATTGGTAGCCTCACCAAATAGACTACACCCGGATATATTCCGGGTACCCCCAGGCAGTGGCGTAGCGTCACTGGATGACACGGGGGTGGGGGGCTTGGTCACTGATAATGACAATAAAATAAATAAACTTGAATAAGTAAGAAGGGTCTGATCACACCATAGGTGGATAAATTCGGGTTTTTGATTTGGGGCTACTTTGATAATGCTCGATGAATGTAGAAAAAAATGGGTGAAACTCAAACAATTTATTTCTTTAAATATGAAACTTTGAATGAGTATGTAATCAGAAAATATCATAAGCAATAAGAATACCACATTGAATTTGTGATGGCAGTATAGGAAATACATTTCATAAGTGATGGTTTGAGTGCTCTTTCAAACAGGCTAAAACACGAAAATTGTATTTTAATATGTTTGTAAAATATGTAACACATACTATATAAAAACTGAATACGATATCAACGGAAATACCCTAAGCTACAATATCAAACCAATGTTTCTAGTTTGGAAAAAGCGCAGCGACTAAATTTAATCTTTACATTATACTACCGAAGTTACCCGCATTATCAAAGATACCCCGTTTTACGGTACTCAAGACCAAAGAATCAAAAATATCTCTAAATGACAAAATGACAAGCCGAACGATAACGCTTTGGCAGGAATAAAAAGCAATAATGATATAATCTTCTTCCTTTTTTTATGACAAACTGCCTTTGGAATATAGCTCACTCCAAATTGCTGGCCGAAGCCGAAGAAGATACAGGCAGTTTGGTCACGTTAAGAAAATCATCATTAAACATACAAAATTCAGTGGAAAATTCGAATGATATTTAACCGAATGGATAGCACCCTGTCGGGATGGTATGAGCGACCTTGTAAACAACCGGTAAGAATATTATGTTCTCTTGAGGCTTTATGAATGGTCAAAAATGAACAGTTTTAACATAATAAGATTTCACAGAAACAATGTTTTTCTGTAAAATAAATTAAATTTCATAAGTATTGCATATTTAAGGTTATATGTTTTCAGTCTTGTGAACGACTGATTTTTTACCAAAGCAGCTGTTTCAAAACGTGCTTTCATATGATACAGCATAAATATGACTAAATATGATAGAGCATAAAGGAATAATGCAGGCTGAAAGTCTCCTTAATAAAGATATAAAAAAAAAGTAATAATGCAAAATTTAAGAATTCAAGTTGAAATATTAGTGGTGCTCATATTGCCTCGAATGGACTTAAGTAATATTTTGTTATGGAAATCTGTTATGTTTATTAAAATCTAGAAAAAAAACATCGTGTCATATAAGAAACCAATGACCATTTATAAAGCTGCTGAAGGAATATCAATGATAAGTTATTAAAAAAAACTACTGATAGACCTTATTTTCTGATTCAGAAATTTTTTAAATTTTTTTGACATTTTGAGCTAGTCTAACATTTTTCGAATATTTGCTCTAGGGAAACGTATTTTGTTAGACTAAAATGAAATGGATAGTTGAAGTAGACTTCAAGCATTGAACCTGCAACATTTTTTTGTATAACATGTTCAATAAGTTGATCTTTAGGCTGGTGGCCTCCCCATTAGCCATATTACCCCACTTCCCCCACATGTGTTAATGGGAATTTTGTTGGTATGTCTTTTCTCGATTTCGATCAAGCTATGTCCTCAGGCATGTATGGCAACAGAGCAGGCAAACAATATATCATTATCCTTCTAAAACTCCGATCAATTACTGAGGGGTTTTTTTTTCTTTATTTAAAGGATGTCAGCCTAAAGACTGGTTCGCCTCTCTCTGAGAGGGTATATCGTGGTAGTAGCAGCAAGCGTTTTGTCTTTATCGTTGGTTGACTCATGTGTTTGAAATCGCTGCTGAAGATTAAAAAAAAAACCTTATTATTAGAGCTGTAAATTTCAGCAAATTTACTCAAGCTAACTTCAGCAGAAATTTTCCGCACTTGATTAATTTCAAAAGTCTTCAAGATATTCTTCACACTAAGAAAAAAATGAGCAGAGCATTCTGGAACATATCGAACTTGTGAGTCATACATTAAGTCTGAAACTATTTGTCAATACACAGATAATTTGTGGTCGCAATGTTGTACTACTATTAAAAATATATTAAAATATCCTTGCAAACATACTAACAATTTAAAGTACTATCAAATTTGCTGATTGGTACTAAACACAAGTTCTGTATTTCTTAAAGTATTGAGTAGTTGTAAACCAAATCAACTATTCATGTTTTTTTAAATCTCGTGCTAATTTGGTTTTGAGTTTTTGGTGCGTCAAATATGTTTTACTATCTATAGCAAGTGTCGCTCCATACTTCTTATGGAACCGGGACCACTTTGCTGCAGCATGCAAAGCCCCATTAGAATCAAAATGCAAACCATCAGTAATTCTTAGCATGGTAATGTTTAAATATATAGGGGAATTTACGTATTCTCGTCAATCTAAGCAGCGTCCGAACTTCTATTAGCGATTTCTCAGCGTCACACACATACATGACAGGTTTGTTGGTTGACATTTATCTGCTGCTTGCTGTTCTACCAATTCCAATCGACAGAATTGATCAAAACGGGTTGAACATGTTTTTACAACGATCCAAACTTCTCAGGTGAGTGTGACTATTGTCGGCAGTCTCTTTTTCTTCGGCACCCTTTCCATTTGAACTGCGGGTTAACCAGCTGTTCTATTATCGGCAACTCGAAATCAGCCGTATTTTGTAGTGTGTATGTTTAATTTAAAGAAAAATATGGCATAACAGGATTGCACAGTCGTAAAAATGTAATCAGATTGGAGTTGAAAAGGTAAGGAATCGGCTTAATACATTCAGCGAAGAGTTTTGATGGGAAAATACAGTGAAATTAACGTTTCAATTTCGGTTGCCGAAAATAGTCAATGGGTGCCGAAGCCATAATTTACCCTACTAACGTTAAAAAAAGTCGCATATATTTGCCGATTTGAGATCAATTTAAGGGGCTACGCCTAACTGCAAGACCGAAAAAAAGCGAAAGTTTGGATTTTTTCTCGAAAACGACGCAACATATTGAAAATCGGCTTTCTGCCGTTTATTGAACACACATTAAATGGTACATTTATCAGTCGATGCTGTAAAAACAAGGTATTGGTGCCCCGCACGGCTGCTCCCCGTGGACGATGTTCTAAAAAACGCTTTTTGCGGTGCCAACTGTGGTTTGTGATGTAATCATCTGAAATAAAAAAAACCATGCCAAATCGTTAAGCATGTGTTAAACTAGTCCTTGATCGTTCGGTTTTTTTTTAATTTTTTTGACAAAATGGCGGCCTTGCAAAGTTGAAGTGCCGATTTTTGATCCTTAAAATTTGTCTTTGATCGGCTGTAAAAAATCGAAATTAAATGATAGACGAAATCCGAACGATCGTGGACTGCACAAAATAGTACTGAACAGAAATCAAAACGAATCGGACGAATCGAATGTATACATTTCGAGAAATTTTTGGCATTTTTGAAAATATGATTCCGAGATAATCGCGTTTAAAGTTTCAAGTTGGGTTTAGTCCACTATAAGTGAATATTTTTGTACGTCGCATAACTTTCACAATTTTCATCGGATCAACTTGATCTTTTGAAATATTCTTGACTTTAAATACTTTCGATTAGGACAATCGATTTTTTGAAAGTTTGCAGGTAGGCGTAACCCCTTAATTATTTATTATATTTAGCTTTGTCAAAATATATACAATGAAAAGGTGAAAATCATTTTCGCGCCCTATGCGTACTCGGTATGATGAGATGTGTAAGTAATTCCTGAATAAACTTTATATCCATACCTCTCTGTTGTGCAGCTCGCATTCGATGGTCAGGATAGGTTGGTCCAAACAACTGCAGCCTTCCTTGTTGCATAAGCTCAGAGATCCAGTTTGTCCGGTAATACTACCTACCGATCGCCGTTGCCGTGAGACAACGACTGACTCATTGCTGATGAAACTATTCTTGGCACCTTGTTTACTCAATCCTATAGTTTCCGAACTGGCGCTTCTGTTGACTTCTCCAGCATGTGAACGATTCGCAGCACTGGGAGTGGCAGTAATTCTTCTATCACCATCATCGGTATGACGAAAAACAGCTGGATGCTGCTCAGCGTGTTTTCTTGTATCAATACTGTTAATTTGGTACACAAGAATGACGGTGAAGATGAGTTGAAACTTTGTCGAACCCATGTTGGACGGGTACATTATAACCACATATGATTCACTTTCTAAGACCTTTTAAATTATGTACTTGAGGCGGTTTCACATTGCGTACATACTGCATCGATTTGATCACATGCTCGAAGTGGTAAAACATGTTTCATATCCTTCTTAATACTACGCTCAAACACATCCGACGAGATAGGGCATTCGATTTTCGCCAGTCGCAGTATGGTCTTCGGTTCACATTCGGTCACCACTAATTGATGTAATTAACTTTACAGAATCAACTCTGCTGGCCACCTCTCAAACTCACATTTTCTTAACCATTTTTTTCGACGCTTTCTCATCTTCGCCTGGAACTACGACGTTTTCTGATACTTTTCACACACATCTAACGGCCATTATATTCTATTTCTTTTTAATGTGCCACTATCTTGACTTATGCACTACACTAACAAACTAGTTGCCCCGATATACACTTGTAACTACTCTAGATTGATAAGTGAGCACGCCACCATGAATGAAACTGATTTCAGCACGGTTTGTAATGTTAACGGTGATGGTAGTTTTTCTGTGCACACGTTGATCGATGTCGGTATTCTGTAATGAATCAAATAGAAAGAGAATTACTTCAATTGGGTCGGTTCAGTATGAATAAGCTGTTTTCGACGATATCAATGTTATTTTTTTTGCATTGGCATTTTTATTATTCCATTAGTTTTGCAAATTTGTAAGAATCGAACTATTCTCGAAAGTAATAAAACTTATGTAGTATTTAAAGAATGTCCCGAAAACATCATTATGCAGACACTTGAGCAGTATTACGGTACGTAACCAAATACCGGATATCTTCATTTTTTTTATTGAATATTACGTCTACTTTACGCTTTGACTGAAACAAAACGGCGTCGGTGATTAAGTTGCTCTAATAGACCATGTGTTAGCACTGATTCGCTTTTTCTAAAACCAAAACATGTGATTGCCACTAGTGCAGTGAACTGGACAACCAAAGTTAACCAAGTTGACCTAGGAATGACATAGGAGACGTCAGGGTTTGCGCTTCGTTGGACCGTATTAGATCTGTTGACTTTTGCTTTTAATATGCTTCAAATGACTTCATTAATCCTAGATAACATTTGGAGTTGCCCAGAAGCCTTTCAGGCTAGCCCTCTTGAAATCTTATTGAAATCAATTCTAAGATCATTGAACTGACCCTAGATTATTCATTAGCTTGCCATTGAAGACATCTGACATTGTTCTTCAACTTCTCTAAACTTGGCATTCAAACATTTGTTATCTTACTGATTTATCCTAGACCATGAATTCTTCTGAAAATTCCCGTGGGCTCCTCCTCAGAATTCTTAATTAAAACATCAAAATGCCCTCCGAAATTAAATTCTCTTGAAATTATCATCAGAATTCACTTAAAATTAACCACAGTTTTAAATCTGTCTTGGATTCTGCTTTTTGGAACAATTCCTAGAGTTCGAATTTGAATACTATTTCAAACTTTCTTGAATGTATCTTCTGAATTCGTTGCCTCAGAGTTAAGTTAAAATTATTCCCATAACTTCCTCTAAATTAATCAGAATACCAATTGAATTAATTTTTTTTTTAAACCCCATGAAACTTTCTTCAGAAATTCTACGCACTGAACTCTCATTGGAATTAGCGAAAATTACTTTTCAGCTGCGCACTAGGTATTAGACCATACCAAAATCATGCATTACAGAACATATTGAAAATGTCCACGCCAACTGACGCATAGTTCAAACGCGGACTTCTTTGGTGTCCATGAAACTTTACATACCTAATTATTCTAATGCCGCCGCCATCTATTTGTAGTCAGCATAAAAATGTGTACATACATCAATCTAAGCGGGCCCAGAGTGTGAGCCCGTGGCTATGCTCGCCTTGGTTACTAGGGGTGCCATCTCCTTGTAATTATTCATTATCGACAATTATTCAAATTTGTGCCGGAATTTTTACTTAAAAATAACGTATTCGATATTTAAAATAAAAATATCGGAATAAAAATAGACGGCCTTTCCATTTAGACAACATTTATGATTGAAAAAAAAAAAAATAGTTACATTCAGCATGCAAAAAGGTCTTGTAGAACTTATATCGTGTCCTGGAGAAATCGAAATGTTGAATATATTATATAATTCACAAAACATGGCAGCCATAACGAAACACTTATTTGATCATTTATACATTTTACCCGTAAAATTAAAACGCTATATTTCTATATTAAGGCAGTAAATTGGTTTAAGATAATATCCCATTATCAGTAAATTTACCGGTACATCAGAACAACAAGCTTCATTCGTGTCACACGAACCGCCTCAAATTGCCGCGCGTACGTAGATATCTATCAATAAAAATTCGTATAAACATTCTTTCGATTGAAGCTCTCGAAGATCGTCGAACAAGTGCTTCCGAAACATAACTAGGTATATGTGAATGCCTCGAACACATGTTCGACACAGATCTTGTTTATGTTTCAAGTGTACCTGTTGAGTGAATGCCACTCGATTCGAATTTGTTTATTGCCACAATTTCAAACATAACCTCCACTACTTACAGCCATAAATTTGTCCTAGTCCGATGGCTTAAAATTTTCAGACTGAACATTATCACAACCGAAAGCATACCCACATAAACACGCTAAGCTACTGATTGATGCTCAGAATATCTGTTTAAGCTAAACATTCGATTCTAGAGCTGGGCAAGAAAATGCCTCTAGATTATAGCATTTATCTGCACTGTAAAGCAAAATATTGTTCTTCCCGTCCGCTCTGCTTTGTGAATGTTGGCATATGGTGTGGCCTACACGCTTCCCATTACATCCCATACTTTATACCAAGGCATATAACGGATCAGACGAGCGGTTGTTCCTGAATGGGCGTAGCAATACATATGTCTGCGTTAAAATTGCCTTGTGCTTTGTTTATCTTATGGTGGATCGTTTCTTCTATTTGTTTATGCTGATAACGTGTTGCAAGTAGTGACTCAATTCAATGTTTCAAACTCATCTTAAGGCAACGTTGTTCGATGGTCAACAGATGGCGATGGCATTTTGGCACTATCGTGCAACAGTTGTATTTGTATTATATTTTTAATACTGGTTAACTGTCACTGTGGTCTAAAACAGTGGCCAGACTGAGCGGTTATAACATGTTATAAGCCTCTGTTGATGACATATTTACTGTCGATACATGGTATAACCATAGAGGTAACTCTAAGACCAGAAGGTCCCGATGAAACGTGCTCAAAATTTTGGCTAAGCTCTGGTACTCTCTTCGGTCCTAAGCTAATAGATGCGCCCCTCGAAAGATAGGAAAATCCACGAACCCCTCATTTAATCCGTTAAACTTTCATAGTGTAGTACTAGAATTTCGACTAGAATGGGATTTACTTGGGACCAATAGGCTAGTCAAGTAGTCAGCCAATTTAAAATCGTTAGTTTCCACCGGTTGGTATAACTCTGTAGCTTTAACAAGGCCTAATGAACAAATAGCATACATTTTTCTCACCTCTTGCCCCCAATATATGATCAAACAATTAACGTAGTTTTCGAAATGCGATATGCTTTTTGTTGGAATAAGATATCCGTTCCACATGGTTGAGGCCCCATGCATGAGGCTCATGCATATTCCTATGATATCTGGAGGTATCTTCTAATATTTCATATCCCCGGCGGCGTGGGACGGTGATTTCCTTCTCAATGAACACGCCAACCGCAGACAGCATATTCCGTACACAACACCATGAAAGCGACAGTATCAAGTAGCACTTAATGCCGAATAAAATGCTCGTTTACCAGAATGATACACACGATCAATCTTGGTGCAACAAGTGTAGGATGATCGCTGCAAATACGTGAGGGTACAGATTTGTAACCCATTTGCTTTCTTTTTCCGGTAAAATTGTATTGTACTACCAGATTCTGGAACAAAGTGTGGCCTAGAAATATGTTATTCAATTCTATCAACAAGGTGACTATTAACAGTATTAACAGTAATTGCAACAAATCAAATGTCATGTCCAATCACTATTCGTTAAACGCTCACTTGTTCCGTGTTGGGCTGAAGAACAGCAATCTCTGTGAATGTGGACAAGGTTACCAGGACGCAGATCACATTATTTGGTCATGTGCTGAGCACCGCGGAGTCAGATCCGAGTTGTACGATTCCCTTCGGGCTCGAGGTAGACAACCTAATGTTCCAGTTCGGGATATTTTGGCTAGACGCGATCTGGAGTTTATGAAACTCATATATGTTTACTTTAAGAATATTAACATTAGATTGTAAGTTTTATTAACCTTGTGTTCGGTTTGTATTTTGTATGTGTGTGTGTATTTTTTTTGTAGATTTGTTTCTGTAATAATTGTATAATTACAGAGTTGATATAACGTCGATAGGATTAAGTATTTGTTTTAGAAATAGTGAAATTTTTGAATCATAAATCATATTCCAAATCTCCTTTTCCCTCTCCCGATCCAAACAATTGTCATCCACTAACCTCGAGAAGACCGCGAGTAATCGGTTCCAATCCTTTAATTTTAGATTTAAGACATTTATAATGTGTAAAGAAAATGATAACTTGGCTCTGTAAAGTTTATTCGAATGAGCCTGTACAAATAAAGTAATTAACAAAAAAAAAACAAATCAAATGCTTTGATCACCTTTATTATCTTGGAAATATCCTCATTGGAATTCACCCAAGGTTTTCCGAAGTATTGTTCCAAAATTACCTTGGAATTCACATTAGAATACGCTTAGAATCGCTGGTAACAGTAATGGGAGATGGGATGTGGTTGGCAGAAGAGAGAAGTAATGAGATTGCAAGCATGATCGCGGTCATGGTCGCGGTCATCCAGAATATTCGCGAAAAAAATCAGTATACTAACCAGGAATTTTGTCAACAACGTCCGATATAAAAAGTTTACCAGACAAGTGCAGGCCACTAACATAATCTGCAGAGCCTGTAGGAAAAACTGGTATAATAAGCCCCTTTTAAGAAAAAAAACGGCAATATTTGAACTGCCTATACATTCATCCTATAGATTCGTAGAAATGCAAATAGGTAACTTTTCCCCGGTGGGTTGTTTACACATTCCTACCCTACAAAGTACTTTCGTCGCTAAACCACAGGATGGTGCAGATCCATTTCTAAGTAACCAATGTTATGACCGATGGAGATAGAATACAGCTTTTGTTTAGGAAAAAACAAGTTTAAATTCATAAAAATTCGAACTTTCATGAAAACTTCATTGGCCTTGCTTTCAAATTTATGCTCCGCCTACAGGGCTGATATGTGCTATAATATTAGTTATTTAGTTACTACAGTGTGAAACCGAACTTTTTATCAGTGTGAACCTCAACCTGAGGTAGGTTTAAAAACAAACGATCAAACTGACTTTAGTCAGAAACCAAGCAGAGCCGATCTTGATACCCAATGCAGGTTGGAACTTTTTTTTTCCTTGATTTGTTTTCCGTCGATCTTGTTTTCCGTGCTGAGCACCAATCCCGAGCAAAGTCGGTTAACAAAATGAAAGCAAATCGATATTAAAGTTTGCAGTTCCTATTATAATG